AAGGAAGGAAGGAAGGAAGGAAGGAAGGAAGGAAGGAAGGAGAAGAAAGAAAGAAAGAAAGAAAGAAAGAAAGAAAGAAAGAAAGAAAGAAAGAGAAAGATGGAAAAAATATAGAGGAGTGAACCAATGTGAAAATATTAACAATACCTAGGGCATAGTTAATAAGATCAGCTGTCTCTGTTTGTTGTTGTTTTAATTTTGTAATTTGGCATATAAAATAAAGAGTTTCAGTGTGGCATTTCCATACATAAATATCAATATATTTTGTTCTTCTTCAGTTAGTTCTATTTTTATAGCAGAAATGAACAAAAAAAACACTTCCTCATCTTTCTTCTCTCTTAGAACAGGAAGAAGAAAGAACACCCTATCTCAGCTGCAGTAGAACCAAGCAGCCGCACTGACGTCTACAGCTGGCTGATCACGACTGCATCTCTCCGATTTAAAAACACTCACTTCGTGGCACTTCCGCATTCCTAAAGTCAGAATTTCATTTTAGAAACCAATGCACAATTGAAGATTGTTGGGCTTTCCTTCTGAAAACCTCTTATTAAAGTGAAGATGTGTCTTATAATTGGTTGTGCCCCAGGATTGAGAAAATAATTATGCTGTCGCCATAGCAGGCACGACAGTTTTGAGACAGGAATAGCTAAGCTGCTTGGGAGTGTAGTTCAGGGTGTGGTGAGGCTTTTTTGCATTGCAGCAAATCCACCACAATGATCATAACCTTTAAAAGGTCTGGAAGTTCTATTAATAGCCTTTGTATCTTCAGGCACCTGCAGCCTCAGATAAAAGGAAGTCGGAATGCTTTGGCCTCAATTTGCTAGCTCTAACCCCTCAATGCTCGGCTTCAGGACTTTAGCATCCAGGCACATATAAACGCTGTTCACACACGCATGCACACACACAACCCCCCACTCTGACTCTCCTCTTAGTTACTTCTGGGAGTCCTCTGTTGCTCAGGGTTAACCCTTCCAGTGCCTTAGTTCTCTTCTTAAGCAGATAAACACCTTGTAGCCAGCCACTGAAGAGAAGGATGCTTGCCAACATTCGGAACCCTGCCCTGACAGAACCCGGCCTCCTGGTACTCGAGAGCTGCATAGTCTGGAGATTAACTTTCCTTTTCATTAATGAGCCATAGAATCAAAAACTAGCCACTAGCTCCATTGAATACAGCATGGTCTCTGCCTCTGCTGGAAAGGCATGGAACGCAGGTAGATGTAGGTAAGAGAGGGTCATGAGAACCCAGTGGCAATCTCAATCCTGTCCGGCCCCTGCTCTCTTCTAAAGGGTCCTCTGAATTTCGAGGTCATGAGGAGAGAAACATGCCAAGCTCATTTTCCCTTGGCAGCGGCAGACAACCTACATGTACGGCATGTAAAGAACCAAATCTTTTCTGACTCAGAGGCCAGCTTTATCTACATTCTTACATCTCCCTTTGGGCTTATTTTCCACAATGCTCTCCTTTCCCAGTACATAAAGAGGAATCTCTGGTCCAAACGTCTGGATAGGAAGGCTCTCTTCTAGAGGGGATTGTTTTGCATTTATATTTAGGAATTTTTATTGATAAAATAGATAGGTTTCTATACATAGCAGAATTTTTTTTCTTTGAAATTTCGTTTACTTTTTACATTTGGAGAGACTTTTATAAACCCATCACTCTTAAGAGGTGAATAATGTACTAACTGTAGATCATCAACGACTTCGGCTTTGTTATAAACAAAGGATGGAAAAACCACCACTTCCTGAATTGATTGTTGGTGTTGCCTAAATGGATTCCAAAAGCTTGCATCAGTTTCTGATGAGGAGTTTCGTGTCTTCTTGTATCACACAGATTATTTTACTGTTTGCTATTTTTACACCTTAAAAAGATAGCTTTTAAAAACCACTGATTAGGAATTAGATTAATGAAGGAATAAATTAGGAATTAAATAAATAAAGTTTAGTTTGGTAGATGTATCTCGAAATATAAATGTTTCTGGATACAGTTGAACAAAAGCCTAATAAACTAGACCGTTCTACTGAGCCACTTAATGATCTCGGTTTATGCGGGAGGTGCGCACACCGCCGGCTAGGGGCCCTCCTTTGTTTGCAGTGCCTGGATCTGGGATTTGGAAAACAAGTGTCCAAAAAGGGCCAACCCAGTTTTCCTAGGAGAGAATAAAAATGATTGCATCAAATAGAATCAAAGCTAACAAAGAAATCATGTTTTTAATAGAAGAGGAGGGAAACATAAACACAAGAAAATGGGCAGTGAGGTCAGTGGTCAAAACAATCCAAGGAGGAAAAACTCCGGTGGAAATCCCGACCTGGTAATTTGAAATATCAATTCCGAATGATCAATGTATGGTCCACGTTAACTGGTTTAATCCAGGGGCTTCTCACTTTGAAAGCCTTTCCTTGTCAGCTGTGGATGCGCAGAGTGAGGTTAGAGGCTGGAAGTATTTCTGAAACCACGAGAGTTTAAACCAGGTAAAGGAGGAAAAGTCTATCCAGTAACAAAACGCTGTTTAGGCACGTGTTGCTGTATTTTTTTCAAAACTTCATACATATAGCCAAATCCCACCAGTCTTCATACTCTCAAACAAAAAAAAAATTATCCTTTTTTAAACCATGGTAGCACACCTCCCTTGTAAAATAATAATAATAAAATAATAATAATAATTATAAATACTACAAGGTTGAGTGAAAGGCTTATTGACTATAAACCCGAGAGGGCTAAAATTGGCTAAGATGTAGACACACAGACATTGGCACATCACATTCCTTAAGTGTGTGGAGGGATGTATTCTGTTCCACAATGTCATGCTCGCAAAGATGAGCAGACTATTTAACAATATCATCGGGTCTATGACCTGATCAAGGGTATTTCCTGGGAACAGGCAACCAGACAAGGAACTAACAGATACTTGACACATGCCTTCCCTGGATTAGTGTTCTGATTCCTCTGCCCATGAATTACAAACTCTGGGTGAACTGAGGAGAAGAAGAGAGCTACCCTCTCAGACTCCGTCTAATTGGCTCTGGTTTGCTGGTCAGACTAGCTCCCACAACTGGCAACCGTTAAAAATAGACAGACTTGCTTTCAGAAACATGAATAGATGCAGTATGGAAAAGAAGACACAATCGCAGTATTAAAAATCCATGTTGTCCGTTACAAATGTTTTATCCCTAAATTCTCAAGGTACGATATTCTTTGCTTTCAATGAGCTTAATTCTCAAACAAAGCAAAACCTAAGGCAATCCCAGTATTCCAGGTTTACTATTCCCATCCACTCATGGCTGCCCAGACTTACTCTGAACGCTGCCTTGCAGTCCCCAGGCACTCCTGATACTTCACTGAGATTGAATTACCCACCAATGATTACTTTCAAATCTATCTTAAGAGTCCATGGTTTCTCAGGGCTCCTTTGGAAACCTGGGTCAAGAAGTCGGGGAGGTAGGCAAGTCTGGAAGCTTTGGGTGCTACACTCCATCTCATTTACTTGTCTTATGTGCGGGGTTTCCTCTTAAATAATTTCTGTTAGAGTAACTGCTTATGGATTTCCAGGGGTCTGAAAAACACTCGTGTGGTAGAAAAGTGATGCCACATAATTTGATGTGAACACCTGGCCTATGTCACTACTACTAGAGGAAAAGAGATTTCTCTCAATAATAATCTGGGCTCTGCCTACCTCACAAGGTCCTTATGATGTAGAAACAAGTCCCTGAAATATCTCCACAGAGCATTCCGTAATTGACAGAGACGCTGGATGACTGGCAGCCCTTTGGGCCGGAAGTCCCACCTCTGCGACTTCCACCTCACGTGTCTATCCAACCCCCACCAACAGGAAGTAGATTCCCACCGAAAGCGCCCACTCCTTGTCAGGACGTAGACTCACTAGCCAGCCAGCCCAATGAATTTTGCTTCCCAAGATATGGAGCCGGCTCACCTAGTGTTCTGTCCCACTGGCGAGAATTCTGAGCCTGCAGGCCTAGACTGCAACTCCACCAACCCCAACTATTTGTCCCCAAACCAAGGACAGGACTCTCTCTACCAAGAACTGGATCTGGATTCCCTGGGTGAAGACATTTCCCTGTCTGTTCCAGAGGCCATGACAGAGACCTCTGCATCCACCTATGAATCCCACCCAGCTTCAGAACCGGGTTTGTCGGAGGCTGAACAAATGGAGCTCAAATCTGAGCTCACTAAACTGGAAGAAGAGATCGTCACATTACGCGACATGCTGGCATCCAAAGAGAAGCGGTGCGGGGAACTCAGGAGGAAGTTAGGCTGCCTGGCCTTGATGGGACTGAGGCAGAATCTGTCCAAGAGCTGGCATGACGTCCAGGACTCCAACACCTGCATGAAGCAGAAGACTTCAACTGCCCTGTCCTCGGTGGGCTCTGCCATCTGCCGGAAGCTGGAAGACGTGAAGAAGTCGTCCGCTTTCAGGTCTCTTGAAGGGCTGATGGGGACAGTCAAGTCAAGAGTTGCAGGTGGCAGAGAGCTTGGCAGTAGCCTCCTTTCTTCACCAGCGGGTGGCAGTGATCCACACTCAGTTCCGGGGAGTGGGTGTGAAACTGTTCCGGGACTTGGAGATCAACTGCTCTCTGTCCTGAAGCCAGAGTGAGCCCTTTGTTAGCCTTGCGTGGCTGCCAAACCAGTCCAGAAGCCCTCTTCCTTCGTCACACTTGCCAAACAAAAACCAGCAAGCCACCAGCGACGGTAAAGCTATTATAATTCTGGATGAGGGCACAGTTCGGTTTCGATAACAGGCTTGCCCGTTTGTGAATAGATATTTGCTGCTCTTCAGTGAGAGAGAAGCCCACGTTTTACAGTAGTGATTGACGCTACTAGATGAAATGCATCCGTTAGCTTTTCTGAGGTTACTTTTAACGGACAGGGAAATGGGTCCAGAGGAGTCATAGACCAGATCCCAAACTCTTTGGAATATTAGCCTGTTAGAAGGCCAGAGAGATTTGTATTTGAGGTTGGGGAAAGGTGTAAAATAACCTGGCAATATATTCTTCCCATTTTCTTCAAGCACCGCTTGACCTACAATGTTTATTTTATTATAGTGCTGACGATGCAGTCCCGCACTTTACAATGCTGTACAATTTCTCTACCCCCGAACTACATCCCTGGTCTCATAGCTTTTGTTTTTAAAATACAGTCAAGAAAATTGTCCATCTAAAGCCCTCCAGAAAAGTGGAAAAAAAATATTAGCTCCTATACATTTTATAAACTTTATTTTTTCAAAGTGGCTAATTCAGCAAATCAAATTAGCTTTGATTCAGGCAATTACTATTTTGGACTCAGAGTGAAAATGCAAATTTGCATTGCATGTACTTTGCTCTCTTTGTATATTAAAGATGGGGTTTGGCATTTGACCCTTGTGGCAGCATGTCTCCACCACAAGTCGCATCTTACTCTGCTTCAATTGCTAATTAGTAATCACCTTTAAGCTAAGGGACGACTGCAGGAACACAATATAGCCAGATTTAAGAAAGCTAAGCCTCCCCAACCTCCATTTTAAACATTTTGAAAAGACTGTCAGCCCCATGTAATGCTGACTGTTATGCCTTTGAATCGGCCTAACTGAACACATACCACTATTCTGCTTGACTCTAAACCTGCCCTTGGTTTTAACTTCGACTCAGAAGGAAGAAGGACCCAGTCCTCCCAAGGTAGCAGATCTATAGAAACCTGTGGAAACTTGGTCTGAGTTTGTTCAAGCTTTCTAATATCTGAGTTTCATAGGAACTACATTTTGGTTTTGGTTTTGGTTTATGTTTGGATTTTGTTTTCTGTTTTCCGCTTGCAAAATGCCCATCCCAGTATCTTCCTTCTTTTCTCCCACTGTAGTGAAAGAGGAGTTTGTGCTGCCTTGATTCACAGCCCTCTGCTATTTGTTTGACTCCCTTTCATTAACCCTTTATTTCCTACAAGCTGGCCCTCCCGTCCAAGCCCCCTAGCCTGTTTCGCTGTTTCCTGAGTGTTTCTTTTCGCATCCCTTTTGTTCTCAGAAGCGAAACTAAACACTGCTGTCAGTGCAGAAGCTCCGGGTAAAACTAAGGCCATTGATAAATCCTGGCCCTCTACCGAGTCCCATAGGCCATATTTTGCTTGGATTAAAATAAGATGTTTTTGCTTTTGCTTGTTTGTTTCTTGGTTTATTGTAGTTATCGACCGAGATAGTTTTCTAGGCTGGAGAATGAAAGACAAATCAACAAGAAAGAGTGAAGAATGAGCCGATGAGCAGCAAGCTACAAGTCAGGAAGGCTCGTGTTATGGGCAGTCTCATGGTACCAGGGGCCACACCTAAAATACGTTCTCCTTTATTTAATAGCTCATAAGAATGATAGAACATTTTTCAATGATTTTTTGAGATGGGGGTCTCACTATATAATCGCCCAGGTCATCCTCAAACTTTTGATCCTCCTGCCTCAGAATTCTGAGTACCGGGACTACAGTACTCACGTTTATGTTCTACTATGTCTAAACATCTTCAATCAATTCTCAGTTCTTGAGACCAGTAAAGCACAGTTCTGATTTTGTTGATCAGTGAGTACCCTACCGTGTCTATAGTAAATAGTCAATACATTCTCATTCAATTAATGGAAGATTATCACATATTTTAGATATTAAATCTTGGATCCAAGAGATTATTAGCAATATAAACTGACACAGGAACCTCCTGATTTTAAACAAAAGTAATGTTTGTCCCAAGCATTTTAGGTACTCAAAGATAAACCGGCCTTCCTGTGTGTAAGGAGCTGTGCCTGGCCGTGAAGGCACAAGATTATGTAGATGTGGGCCAAGTTCTTTAGAAATGCTCAGATTGCTAGATCAATTGGGATTGTTCTGTGGGAGGTGCCTAAACAGAGCTGTGTGCCACAAAGTCCTCTGGAAGGTTGTGTTCAATTCTGTCTTGGTCAATAAAGACTAGAGTCAGCCATAGTGGCCAGTGTACCTGGGTTTAAGGTAGGGGATTAAGAGGTTGAAGCCGGCCTGAACCGTACAGGAAAACCTTGTCTGGAGGGAAAATAAACTTCACAGAAGCATAAAGTCTTAAAAAGAGTAAAAGTTTGCCAGATAGACACAAGTAGAGCATTCATATGGTGTGCAGAGAACTGAGCCATGAAGGAATGCACCAGAAGACATACTCCAGGAAATACCTGGAAGTCACTGAAGCCAGAAATGGAAGGGCATGGTGAGTGATGGGTATGGAGAAAAGCAGGCCCAAAGCATCAGTAAGTAGCTGTCTGCAGTTCTGCAGGCAGTGGTACTTAGCCCTGGGGGAAATGAGGACGGATTGGAGCACTTCAGTTCAAAGGCGACAGTGGCCATAGAAGTAGACTGAGAACAGTTTTAGAGAGAGAATCTCCAACACTCTGGACAGATGACTACACTTGTAAGGTAATAAGAATATATAACTGTGAAACAGAAATGGCCCATTCGTTTTGCTTTTGGATTTTAAATAGATTTCAACATAGCTGTAACAATGGATGGGGGGGTTCATACAAAATGCCTTCAAAAACATGGGTTTGGTTTATAAAGGTTTCTCTCCATTTGCATTTTTTCCCTTCTGCTTCTGCCTCATGTGTTGGGTTCCCTCAGTTCTTTGTCTCATGTATCTTCATAATCACCTCCATGCACTTAGGCCTTTGGATTTTGCAGTTTGTCTTAAATCTATTTTAAGATGCAGTTTCCAACCATTCCTGGAATATAGGAAGGCTCAAAGATGCCCATTGCTAAGTTGACTCAACCCTGAGAAGCACTGGCTGCTGAATATTGAACAGAATTCCTGTGATCTGCCATTTTCTGGTCTTGCATCACCCATATTAACAGAAATATGAGATTAGAGAGTAGAGATTAGAAGGTAGCCTAAACAGTTGGGCCCTCCCCCATCATGTGTTGAAATCCAGTTGCCATGGTGATGATACAGGGAGATGTGACCTATGAGGAGGTAATTAACTTTCATGAATTTCTTTTTTGGTGCGGATTTCTTTTCCTTCCTTCCTTCCTTCCTTCCTTCCTTCCTTCCTTCCTTTCTTATATCCCTACTGCAATCTTCCGTCCTTCCTCTCCTCCCTGTCACTCCCATTTCCCCTCTGCACCCCCATCCACTCCTCCTCCATTTCTATTCAGAAAAGGGCAGGCCTCCTGTGGATATCAACCCAATATGACATATCAAGTTGCAGTAAAACTAGGCAGCTCCCCTCGTATTAAGACTGGATGGGGCACCCCAGTTCTCACGAATATTCTTATAAGTGGACTCAAGGACACATTTGCCCTTTCCACTGTAGGAAAATACAATTTTAAAAAGTGTCATCTATGGATTAGGAAACAGTGACTCTTCTGCCTCAATCTTGGATTTCTTGACCTTCAAGAAACAATGAGAAATACATTTCTGTCGTTTATAAGCCAGTCTACAATATTTTGTTATAGCAGCTTAAATGAACCAAGACACAAGAGTTGAATGTTCTGTCTCACGTGTCACATGCTTCGTGGTAAGGATGGGGCTAGCCCACCACCAAGCCTCATGTATAGTAATGTTATATATGCCCTACATACCACAGCATTACTTTCAAAAAAAATTTACCAGAAACTTCTGGAGGCTTCTCTAGCACTTGCTTCTATCTCATAATCCAATTAAAAATGCAAACTTCCAGATCTGAGGAAAACCTATAATTATCAATGAGGGGTAGGCTATGGCCACTGAGCCCAAACTGCACAAGTTGCCTATGTTAAGTGATGGGTTTGATGACCTTACCCACTAAGAGAATATTGACATAGTGTATTGGTGGTACTAAGGAGTAAGACCAGTTACACCTGGGTTATAGAATTGCAATGCTTGCATGGCCTCAAGTATAAGAAAAAAGGATGAGCAGTACTCTATCCAACTGACTGTAGAGAGATGATTGGAAAGTAAGAAATTTTATCTTGTTGACCATGTCCTTTGCCTCACAGAAGCTTCTCAGTTTCAGGTCCCATTTATTAATTGTTGTTCTCAGTGTCTATGCTACTGGTGTTATATTTAGGAAGTGGTCTCCTGTGCCAGTGCATTCAAGGGAAGTTTCCACTTTCTCTCCTGTCAGGTACAGTGTAACTGGATTTATATTGAGGTCTTTGATTCACTGGATTTGAGTTTTTTCCATGGCGATATATATGGATTTATTTGCATTCTTGTACATGTTGACATCATTATGACAGCACCATTTGTTGAAGATGTTTTCTTTTTTTCCACTACAATTTTTGATTCTTTGTCAAAAATCAGGTGTTCACAGGTGTGCAGATAGCCAGAACCTGGAAACAATCTAGATGCCCTTCAACTGAAGAATGGATAAAGAAAATGTACATTTGCAGGAGAATAAAAAAACAAAAACAAGCAAACAAGCAAACAAACAAATGACATCATGAAATTTCTGGGCAAATGGATTTCCCCAGGGAGGAGAAATAGATAAAACTCTCCTGGATAAACTGGGGGTGGGGGGGGGGGACATGAGAACATGGGGAGAGCAATGAAAGAGACGTCTTGATGGAGGGAGCCATTATGGAGTTAGGGAGAAACCTGGTGTTAGGAAATTTTCCAGGAATCCACAAGGATGACCCCAGCGATGACTCCTAGCAGTAGTGGAGAAGGTGCCTGAACCAGCCTTCTCCTGTACTCAGATTGGTGACTACTGTTGGGACCTAATGGAGTCCTGGCCTTTCTACTCACCTTCCTTGTTGGTGACCTTTCTTGCCCTTGTTGTTCTGGGTTTCTGAGAAACTTATAAGTTCCGTACTTTCAGAGTTGTTTACCAACCCTGCTTCCTGAGTACGCATTGCCTTGGCCCTAACCCAAGGATCTGGCGATGAGGTCTCCATCCTGTTGACCCACCTGTCTGGGTTAGGTATAAAACCCCCTTGGTGATGTACAATAAAGGGGGTCTGATTCTGCAACATCCAGAATGTGTGTTCATTAATCCTGACGTTCTTGGCTCAGACTTGGCACCCAGACTGCGCTGGCACGACAGACTACCCTAATTGTCATCCAGTAACTGATGGAAGCAAATAAAGAGATCCACAGCCAACCACTGGGCCGCGCTCCTGGAGTCCAGAGGGAGGAGGGATTATATGAGCAAGGGGGGGGGGGGTCACGATCATGATGGGGAAACCCACAGAGACAGCTGACCTGAGCTAGTGGGAGTTCATGGACTCTGGACTGACAGCCGAGGAGCCTGCATGGGACCAAACTAGGCCCTCTGAGTGTGGGTGACAGTCGTGTGGCTTGGGCAGTGTGTGGGAGCCCTGGCAGTGGCACCAGAATCTATCTCTGGTGTATGAACTGGCTTTTTGGAGCCCATTCCCTATGGTGGGATATCTTGCTCAGCCTTGATGTGGGGGTTGGGAGGGATTGGTCTTGCCTCAACTTCATATTCCAGGCTTAGTTGACTCCCCATGGGAGGCCTTACCCTCTCTGAGGAGTGGATAGGGGATGGGAGGAGGTGCGGGGGGAGCAGGAGGGAGAGAGAACTGTGGTTGCTATGTAAAATGAATTTTATTTATTTTATTTTTGTTGTTGTTTTTGAGACAGGGTTTCTCTGTAGCTTTTGAACCTGTCCTGGAACTACCTCTTGTAGACCAGGCTGGCCTTGAGCTCACAGAGATCTGCCTGCCTCTGCCTCCCGAGTGCTGGGATTAAAGGCATGCGCCACCACCGCCTGGCTGTAAAATGAATTTTAAAAAAAAGAGAAAAAAAAGCACAGCAGTTTTGTCTTTTGACCCAGACAACAGTCTCACTGGCAAAATCATTGAATGGAATAGTTTATGGACTCTGGAAACTACTGAAATACTGCAACCTTAAGTATAAGGCTTGGACTATAAATTGTGTTTAATTTTCGTTAAATTTAACTCCTAGCAGCTGATTCTTAACTGACCCTTCATGTCAGGCAGCTAAGTAGATGCTCATTGAGTGTTCTGAATACAGTTTATAGGAGCTGGGTTTGAGAACTGTCTTCCAAATACAGAACACCAGCACATTGTTGACTCTTACGTCTGATCACAGATGTGCACAGGAGGAAATGGGCAGCCAGTACCGTTTTACCTCCCCACTGTTGCTCTGGCCTCTTCCTCTGGAAAAAG